GTCAAACCTAGGAACATAATCGGGGTGAACCGGGATTCGAACCCATAACCATAGTTTTCTGGCGTGCCCAACGAACGCAACTCTGCACACTGAATCTCGGCCTTAGACTTGGTGGTAGAAGGGGCGGTCGGGTAGCCTAGTGGTTAAAGCGTCCGCTCGTCACGCCGAAGACCCGGGTTCGATTCCCGACATGGGTACAATGTGTGAAGCCCATTTAAGGTGTCCCCCACCGGTCGTGATATTGCTGGAATATTGCTAAAAGCAGCGTTAAACCATACTCACTCACTCACTCACTTAGTGGTAGAGCGTCCGCTGGACTGAGGTGCAATCCCCGGCCGCGTCATACCAAAAAACGTTAAAAGATGGTACTTGTTGTTACCCTGTTTGGCACCCAGCATTAAGGGACTAAAACAAGGACTGGTCGGCTCGGAGTCAGTATACTGTGTCTTAATGGGGTATTCATGTTAAACTGCGGCATGGTATCTCAGTGTGCTAGGACTACAAATCGGCACCAGACCGGACTAGTACAAGCAGCCACACACAGCCACACACAGCCACACACACACACACACACACACACACACACACACACACACACACACACACACACACACACACACACACACACACACACACACACACACACACACACACACACACACGTGCATGCACGTCGCTATATAAGTGCAATGATCTTGGACGCGACATTAAACTCCATGTCACCTCACCTCACCCCACTCAGACACAGTATACTTACTCCTAGCCGACCAGTCCTTGTTTTATCCCCATTACAATGCGAGCGTCAGACAGGGTAACAACAAACACCATCCATCGGCGTATTTTAGTGTGACTCGGCAGTGGAATGACAGCGGACTCTATCAACTAGACCACGGGGACGGTCCGATAAATCACTGGATACTGTATGATATTAAAAGGCCAACATACAGAGTTATGAGATACAGAGTTTAATATTTTGGGATTTAAGGATCGACAGGTCGCATCCCTTTGACGTTATGGCATATTGGTATCCGACATCTTTATCAGGTTTTGGAGACTTGGAGTTTCACAGAACGATCCACTACCTATCCACACCTGGCCACTGAGTTGTCAGGGATCAGCTAGGTGTGGCCTGTGTTACCCCGTTGGCTTCATCTAGACTGTTACTCCATAGTGACATGCCCATGGAACAGATAGTTTCTTATTATTTTTACACGTGATATTTTGTTGTGATGCAATGGACTTTAAACTTTAAGATGGTGTCAACGTGGTCAATACTAACACCATTGTTTTGTAGTTAATGGCTTTGCATAAATCAATGTTGAAGATCACTAGCAGGTTTGTTTCTTTGACAGACTCATGCTGACATATTTGACGTCACTGTACTCGTGTGTAAACAATCCTGTATTTTCCAATTGGTTCGCCTCAGTATTCTCTCCATACCCTACACATGGCACCTCACCCCAACTACACAGACCCTGGGGGGTAACTAAACCCCACCCATGTTAAGGGTTCTTAAGTTCATTGAAGAAATGCTGACAAAATAATGTACATTTTATTCCACATTTACTCAAAACTTGTGCACCCCTGATATTTATAGACCTTGCAAAATACACATTGAAAACTGATAGAGCTTGCTATGGACACATATATTTGGCCATACCCAGATGATATATTTTCTACATGTCAATCCAAAGGACTGATAACATACATACATACTCTGATTTTGTTCATGAAAGATGAACACAATTCATTGTTTCCTGTCTTGGAAGCATTAAGAGTCATAGTTATCAATCCGTAATGTACTCATACTCATAAATATTCATGTTCTGCTTGCAGGAAGCTGATTGGCTCATCAAGTCACGTGAACATCCCAGTGGTAATATAAACACACCCGAGCCTGTCTCACACCAGCCGGATCACACCTCACGAGTGTCGGTTTGAATGCGCCCGGTTCTCAAACAATCAACCTTTACCTTTAAACGTCAGTAGGCTATATATCGAGAACCTTTGTGCGTAAATTCTGTAACGCTTCTGAACATTTTTGTTGTGTTAGAGAGGAATGGTATGTTACTTTTTAAGTAAGATGAAAACGTACATTTACCTGACTATTATTAAGAGACGCACATACATGTTTTTATTTATGAAAAAGAACAACATTTGTTCCTATTAAGACCTGAAATTGTTATCAGTTCTGGGTACCCTCGACCACTCACACCCCCATAATTTTGCAATATACAAGAAGAGTGTCTGTTGTTAAACGCCGTATTGAGAAATATTCCAATTATTTGATGTCGGTCTGTGAACTTTCGAGTCTGGACCAGACAAACCAGTGATATGTTTTTTGGAGAATTGACCCCCGCCGTGGGGGTACAATGACACGCCCTGAACCATGTCAGTGAGCCTGACCACCCGATCCATTTTGTTCATAGTGACCTATTCTAATTAAATATGTAGGTCCCACGGGGAATCAGTTAAACACAAATGTTTCAAATAATGATCCCTGTCAGACGGCCACACTCAGCGTCACCTTACACAACAGTATACCCCAATCCGCAGTGTACGCACTCAGTGACCAGACTGAAAAACAACACAACCGGGTAGGACGTCGCTGATTGGCCTATCCCGTCATGTAATCTCACCGGTCGTATATCACAAAACAGACTGCTTGTAGCAGTCATACCTGACAGATATCATTGATCTCAGAACAGACGTTACATCTTAGCTGGCTGTATATTCTGGCTTTAGAAATCCCCTCATGTTAAGGTAGGTTACAGAAATATTTCCTTCTTCGTCGCCATCTTTGTAAATATACTGTATGCAGTCGACAAATCTATATATTATGCCGAGTTTATAACTAGGATTATTATGATGGTTATCGTATATGATGGAAATGTTTGCATACAATTTGTTTATTTGCTGATTTGAAATGAATGATTCATTTTTATAATCTCGCCGCAAAAGCTTCTAAAAGATATGCCTATTTGTGTAACATGTTCAATCATTTATCATTTTAAATGTTCAGTGATGACGCAAGTGTATTTATAGATGGGCACTCCAATCCTGTTCTACATGTAAATGTAGTAACATCGGCTGAATCAAGTCTACCAACAAGACGTGTTTAATTGTAGTTATCTAGAACAGAACAAACTCTACTAGGGGCGGGGAATTTTGAATGGGGATCTTGTAACACTCATCCTGCGTGAAGTCACTGTCAGTGTTACGCTAGACATTGAACATCGATGTCTTGTCACGTCTGATGCAGCGTAAGGCAATATGTATCCATGTGATGGACCTTGAACTTTAAGATGGTATCAACCGTCAATGGTAAATACATTGTTTTACAATTAATGGCACATCGTCACCCTGGAGACATTTAACATCAAATGTTGATGATCACTTGCAGGTTTGCTTCTTTGACAGACTCATGCTGACATATTTGACGTCACTGTACTCGTGTGTAAAACAATCCAGTATTTTCCAATGGGTTCCGCCTCAGTATTCTCTCCATACCCTACACATGGCACCTCACCCCTAACTATACAGACCCAGGGTGGGTAACTAAACCCCACCCATGTTAAGTGTTTTTGAAGTTCATTGAAGAAATGCTTACAAAGAAATGTACATTTTTTCCACATTTACTCAAAACTTGTGCACCCCTGACATTTATAGACCTTGTGAAATAGACAAACGTAAAACTGATAGAGCTTGCTATGGACGAATATATTGAGCAACACCCAGATGATATTTTTTCTACATGTCATTCCAAAGGACTGATAACATACATACATACTCTGAGTCATAGTTGTCAATCCGTAATGTACTCATACTCATACATATTCATGTTCATGCTCTGCTTGCATGAACTGATTGGCTCTTCAAGTCACGTGAACATCCCAGTGGTAATATAAACACACCCGAGCCTGTCTCGCACCAGCCGGATCACACCTCACGAGTTTGAATGCACCCGGTTCTCAAGTGGACGTCATTGAAGGTAGGTTGCTTCCACAGAAATTACCTTGTTTGCTCACTACCTTGCATTAGAGTAAAACATTGTGTTTTAACACATAATCAACCTTTACCTTTAAACATCAGCATGCTATATATGTATCAAGAATCTTTGTGCCTAAATTCTATAAAGTTTCTGAACATTTTTGTTGTTAGAGAGAGACTTTTCGTTGCTGTAAAAGTAAGATGTAAACGCACATATACATGACTATTGTAAAGAGACTCACACACATGTTTTTACTTGGGACCAAAAAACATATATGTTCCTATTAAGAACATAAATGCCACTTATGTCAATATTGAGGGAATTAAACACAACAACTTGTCTGGGGATTCTCATACAGAGAGCTGTTTGGCCTGTAAAATGAAAATCTGATACGACACCTCTACTTCTGACTTTTGTAGACATAACATCTTTTATAGATTTACATGGATCTAATGTTGTGTTTTCTATTTGAATGAGCAGACATAGTCCGATACTTGCCATAAATCACAATAAGGACGATAGGGTTTTGCCGTCACACTGCCTGAAACTGTTATCAGTTCTGGGTACCCTTGATCACCTACACCCTCATTATTTTGCAATATGCAAAAAGGGTCTCTGTTGCTTAACGCCGTATTGAGCGATATTTCAGCTATTTTATGTCGGTCTGTGAACTTTCGAGTCTGGGCCAGACAAACTAGTGATAGGTTTTTGGAGAATCGACCACGCCCTAGGGGTACCATCACACGCAGAGGCCACTCGGTCCATTTTGTTCAAATTAGCCTGTAGCTCCCACGGGGAATGGGTTAGACACAAATGTTTCAGATAACGATCACTGTCAGACGCCCACACTCGCAAGAACACTAGGGTGATTCAGCGTCACCTTACACAGCAGTATACCCCAGTCCGCAGTGCACACACTCAGTGACCAGACTGAAATACAACACAACCGGGTAGGACGTCGCTGATTGGCCTATCCCGTCACTAATCTCACCGGTCGTATATCACGAAACAGATTGCTTGTGGCAGCCATACCTGACGGATCTCATTACATAGACGTTACATAGTCGCTGGCTGTATATTCTGGACTTAGAAATACCCCCCTGTTACGGTAGGTTACAAAAATATTTCCTTCTTCGTCGTCATCTTTGTAAACATACTATATGGAGGCGTCAAATCTTTTTATCATGCCATTTTTAAAACAAGGATTATTATGAAGCTTATCGTATACAGAGGAAATGTATGCATATAGTTTGTTTATTTGCTGATTTGAATCTGATTTCTGATCTCGCCCTGAAGGTTTCTTCAATATATGCTTATTTGTGTATAATGTTAAACCCTTATATGACTTTAAATGTTAAGTGATAACGCAAGTGTATTTATAGATGGGGATTTCCAATCCTGTTCTAAATGTAGTAACATCGGCTTTGGTGTTTCCCAGCTTTCCCTCTACCTTAAATCAAGCAGGAAGTCTGTCAACAAGACGTGTTTTATTGTGATTATCTAGACCAGATTGAGTGAGTGAGTGAGTGAGTTTGGTTTAACACCGCTTTTAACAGTATTCCACTTATATTGCTGCGTGTCAGCTTAATGTGGGAGGAAAGCCCGAAGTGATGCAGGTCTCAGACGTTTGCCACTTCAGTGAAACCAACGAGCACGGGTATGGTGCTGACAAATCTACAAACATAATCGGGGCGAACCGGGATTCGAACCCACAATCCTAGGTTTCTGGCGTGCCTAAGGGACGCAACTCTGCATAACGAATCGCGGCGCCTCATGCGTGAAGTCACTGTCACTGTTACGCTAGACATAGAACAAGCGGGGCACGGGTGGCCGAGTCATCTAAGGCGCCGCGATTCGTTATGCAGAGTTGCGTCCCTTAGGCACGCCAGAAACCTATGATTGTGGGTTCGAATCGATTGGGGGTTCGCCCCAATTATGTTTCTAGGTTTGTCAGCACCATCCCGTGCTCGTGGTACACGTCTGAGCTTTCCTCTCGCCGTAATATAATTTGGAATACTGTTAAACCCAACTCACTCACAGTTACGCTAGACTAAGAACATCGATATCTTCACATATGTACATTTGACGGATCAGTCGTGTATTTCAAGCCTGATGTGGTGTAGGGCAATAAGTTTCCATGTGATGAACCTTGAACTTTAAGGTGGTATCAACTGTCAATAGTAAATACATTGTTTTACAATTAATGGCACTGCATTGTTACCTGGGAGAGATAAGGTGAAATTGGGTTTAACGTCGCGTCCAAGATTATTGCACTTATATACATGCACGTCTATCTGTGTGTGTGGCTGCTTGTACTAGTCCGGACTGATGTTGATTTATAGTGCTAGCCCACTGAGATACCATGCCGCAGTTCAACATGAATACCCAACTCAGACACAGTATACCGACTCGAGCCGATCAGTCCTTGTTTTAGTCCCTAAATGCCGAGCGCCAGACAGGGTAACAAGTTTTAACGTCTTTTGGTATGACGCGGCCGGGGATCAAACCCCGGACCTTCCGATCTCCGGGTGGACGCTCTACCACTAGACCACGGAGGTGGTTTGTTACCTGGACACATTTAACATCAAATGTTGAAGATCACTAGCAGGTTTGCTTCTTTGACAGACTCCAGCTGACATATTTGACGTCACTGTACTCGTGTGAAAAACAATCCTGTATTTTGCAATGGGTTCTGCCTCAGTATTCTCTCCCTACCCTACACATGGCACCTCACGCCCAACCACACAGACCCGGGGTTGGTAACTAAACCCCACCCATGTTAAGTGTTCTTGAAGTTCATTGAAGAAATGCTTACAAAGTAATGTACATTTTTGTAAAACTGATAGCGACCGTTAAGGAACAATTATTTGGCAACACCCAGTTGTAAATTCCACATCCTCTCCAAAGGACTGATAACAAAGATAAACGACAAAATTCATGTTTTCTTCTCCTTGGATTATATATATCCATGCTGTTGCGCTCAGATAAGAAAACAACAGAAAGAATGTCACAGTTAACAACCCGCTAGATACTCATACTCATAAATATTCATGTTCATACTCGGCTTGCATGAAGCTGATTGGCTCTTCAAGTCACGTGACCATCCCGGTCGCAGTGTAAACATAGCCTGTGTCTTTCAGTCCAACAGAAAGTAAGTCACTAACCAGATCACATCTCACGAGTTTCGGTTTGAATAAACCTTTATCGCTTCAAACGACACTGTGTTATATATCAAGAACCTTTGTGTGTAAATTATAAAACGTTTCTGAACATTTTTTTCATCTTTTCAGAGAGGGAAGGTGCGTTACTGTCTATGAGAAACTAATACGTACATATGTGTATCTGTTGAAAAAGAAAAAGAAAAAACACATTGTTCCTTTTAAGATAATATTTACACACGTGTGCTTCTTTATTTGATGCTGATGGTGTGTAGGGGTCATTCTCCAAATTGGTAATTCTCACAAAATGTCCATTTGGCGGGGAATTCGAAAAAATATATTTGATTATACATACCTCCATTTATATACGTGAACGGGATTGAATCACCTTTTACGTAATTTAATCATATCAAATAATTAACGATTGACACCATTCATATCCCCACTGACACTTAAGCGATATTTCTTAGTGTGGTCTTTCTAATTAAACAAATGCATGAATTTATTTTCATTAGCACTTATTGTCTTACAATGCATTTCCGGTCTTAAATGCATAAAACGTGTACTCCACACCTTCAAATAACATAAGCTATATCCCTTTATCCCTGTCTGTATTATCTCACATATCTACTATAGGAGCAATCGTGGACCTGTTTGGTACAAGCACGGGCTGAAAAAAATCTTAAGATGTTTCCTCTGTAACCTTTGAACATGTTATTTTCCAACATTGTACATGTACATAGAGGTTATCACGCGAGTGTGTTTGGGGATGGTAAATATCCTGCATTAGGAATAAACATTGTATTTAGCGAGCCTTGGCGTCACAGTTAGACAATGATTTTCAGTATATTAGACTGTTCTTTTGATAATAATAGCAATTATCCCTGTAGTTTATCCTGATTCCCGATGGTTAATTCTGACTCGATCGCCGAATGACGAGTGCGACGCCATGTTTGTTTATAAACAGTGAAAGTAGTCCCTACTTGACCTGTGATATTTGCATCTCTATCCGCATATGACCCCAACGGATATCGTTTTTATCCGTTGGCTTTATCCTGCCGAGAAACCTACCCATTATATGATAAATGGTTTTTCTGGAAAATTAGTTTTTGACACAAAAAAGCTGTGTCTGTTTAAATTTTAATTAGATGTACCAACCCATAGTGTCGTATTTAAAAAATAATAATTAAAAATATTCTTTTAAATGAAAGTAACTTCCGAAAAGATCGTTTAACCTGAAAAAGACACTAAAAGGAAGTATAAGTGAAACACACACTTTTACACAGTATTTGATCTTGTTGATGCAAATAATGTTCTATATTTTGTCCTCAAACATTTATCTCTGCATATTTCTATAAACACCTATATGTATGTATGCACATCTTCCTTCAACACCTTAATATTTATCCACATCCATATTTCAATATGCAACTATTCGGTCAAGAGCCATACATATTATGTGCATGTTCTGTCAGTACACATACGGGGATATGTACCTCATTTGTCAACACCAAAACATGAATATGCACATATGTTCCTTCAACACATGTTCGATCAATAGCTCCTAAATATGCACATCGTTCTGCAGATGCCAGTGATATACCAGCACATTGAGAGGTCCTTCACTACAGAGGAAGTGCTGGACATTCTCCACAACCCCGACTGGTCGAGAGTTATCCGAGAGCCCCCTGTCAAGCCCCGTGGAGGGCAGGTGTTCCTCTACCACTACACAGAGGAAAGCAAGAAAGGTACATCTCCCATATCATGTGTTGATCAGGATCAAACGTGGCAGCTAACTTGGATTTAATAAATGTGTTATGTTCTGATGATACCCGATGTAATACATGTAACTACTTATTGTATTATTAAAATAGATATCAGATTTCATAAGTGGAATTAAGACCTGTATTTTACTGTTCTTGTTGTTGTATTTTTGATGATGTATTGCAAATCAGAGAATTTATGAGTAGGGAATGTTGACTTCCTCTGAGTTGTGTACAGGTTCAGTCATAGTCTGGGGCTGTTACACATTCATACACTTTCTTAGTTTCATAGCATCATACATGAACATAGATTTCTGATAGTTTCTGTACAATGACATGTCATTAATTTTCGAGACTACCTCCGTGGTCTAGTGGTTCAGCGTTAGCCCGGAGAGCAGATGGTCCGTGGTTTGATTGCCGGCCCCGTCATACCAATTGACGTTAAAAGATTGTACTTGTTGTTACCCTGCCTGGCACTTGGCATTGAGGGGGCTAACACAAGGACTGGTCGGCTCAGAGTCAGTATACTGTTTCTGAGTGGGGTATACATGTTAATTCATGGTATTCATATATTCATGGTATCTCAGTAGGCTAGCTCTAAAACCTCGGCAATCGTCCCGACTAGTACACACACACACACACACACACACACACACACACACACACACACACACACACACACACACACACACACACACACGCGCGCGCACACACACACACACACACACACACACACACACATGAATGAATGAATGAATGAATGAATGTCCCTGTATAAGGGCAATATTCCTGAACGCATCGTTAAACTCCACTTTCACCACTCCTAACCTCCCTTAATTATTTACAAAATTTATTAACATTTGGATTGTGGTAGAAATAGTTATAGTCATATAGCTCTCAAATCATTATACACTGGATACACACATAAAGAGTGATATTCATCTTTGATACCATCATTTTTACAATTTCTATCTATGTTCTCTTTAAAGGCCTACATATCTGCCTATTTCAATAAATAGGTCATGTCAACCACAACGAAATCAAGAACGAACATTTCTAAACACACAGGAAACAAAACCCCACTTTAAATGGTAAATCTGATATAGACGATTAGGTTTTGCAGTTTATGTGCCCTGCAATACAAATGTAAACTTGTGCTAGAGAATAGACAGTAGAGGTTTTTTATCAATTCATATAGTTTCTAGCCAAATCCTAATTTCAATGTTTGTTCTACATTCTAGATGACTGGAGATGTGACCAGTATCACTTCAAACACGATGGCCTTCGTAAACAGCCAAGAACTAATCCAAGATTCTATAAAAACTTCTTCATACTCAGAACCAACAATAGCAAAGCGAAGGGAGACAAAAGGTTCAAGAAACATGCGTACATTCTGATTGGAGACCACAAGAACCTTGTGTTGTTCCAGTACCTGGGAGATGAAAGTGTAGCAGAGGACCTTCCTCACGGGAACTCAAAGAATGCTTGCTTGCTGTATACACGTCTTTGTCCGTCAGTCATCGAGGCCATCAAGGACATCACCGTCCCTTCAAGGGAGGTCCTGCAGACACTTGAGGAGCAAGCCAGGTCCTCGGCAGTTCCTGAAGTCCATAAACCGCGGTCCCTGTTGCAGATTAGCAACACAAGGAGCCGTGTGAAGAGAAGGTCGAGAACGGGTAAAAAGAAGACGCGAAGAAAAAAGAAAAAGAAGAAAGAAGATCCTGGAACAAAGCATGAAACGGTTGTGAGTCCCTGTCTTGCGTCAACGTACCTTCCTGAACGAATTTCCGCTGAGCCCAGTGCGGAAGCTGATGTCACTCTGTCGCCTGATGCCATGTCTCCACAGACCAGAATAGCCGTACTAGCACAACTGTGTGAAAATATCTACCAGGAGAATATGGTCAAGACTTCTAATGAAGAGGCTCAGAATTCAGACAGACTTGTCATTGACAAAGGAGACGATCCAGCGGAAGCCATTGATGCAGAGCCATCTGCCCAGACTGGGAATGATGAATCAGGCATCAATAACATGTCAAATCCCAATACAGACATAGAGCTTGAGGTAATAGATACCAGCTTAGTGTTTGAAGTGGGAAGGACAGTGTGTATTCCGTTAGCCAATGAAGACAGAGACAGCAACAGATTAGCTGAAACACACAAAGTGTGTGACATTATTCAAGATAGTGGAATTTCATCAAGTAACATGTTGGTATGTGATGTTCAAAACTCAATAGACTCCGACACGAATCACACAGGGCATGGCGGACTTGGAACAGGTTATACTCCTGTTTGTTCATTGCCTTCAACTGCCGGCGCCCCCAACAACTTGGAACATCATATTGAAGTCATGGACAGCAACCCACTTCATCGGATCCTGGCATTGGTAAGAGAAACCCTGCAGATGGTTTCTCCTGGTACAGAAACCTGCCTTTCATCAAATACTAAGGTCACATCTACAGCGTCTGTAAATGAGTCGAATGGCGATGTTTCAACATTGCAGCAAGGGGGACCGTGTGCCGTACTTCAACAAGGAACATCACTACCCCACACTGCTGTTTCTCTCATCGCGCAAGTTTCCTCAACATGGGCAACTGACTTCCAAAGCATCAAGCAATCCTTACTACGGTCGGATTCCCTTGGATCTGTGATTCAGACTCACCTTGAACTTCTTGACTTAATTGCTGCTGTTATTGTTGGTGCTTACAAAACCAGCACTGACTGCCTTACTTTTGTCGAGACCCTGAAGAACTACCCATCTCATTTAGAGAGGAATTTGAGCAGGCAGTTGCCAACAGACGTTGTTGACAAGAGCACTAAGTATCGGATCGGTAACTACACCATATCAGGAACTGACATTTTGAGATTAGACGGAAATTCCTGGCTGGATGACAGTGTAAGCGATTTGACAGGCATTTGTTTTCTAAATAATCAACAGGGGTTCACAAGCTTAGGTTTAGGCATTATAAGTATAATATTATTCATTATTTATTTTCTGAGTGCTTAATAAATGTAATGATTAATTAAAACTTATAGGGCTGTGTTTGGCCAGTTTCATTATTCATAGGTGGAATGATAACAACTGTTCCACTGAACGAAACATATTATTTGTTGAACTCTATCTTTACGCCAAAATTAATTCAATTTTAAGCATATATGAATAATCTGACCCTGTCATCTTTACACTTGCAGGTTATCCATGCGTTTCTCCATCTTCTCAAAAAGCAATACACTGAAGAGAGGAAGCGAGATGTGAAGATACTGGAATGCTTCCAGTATAAACTGTGGGAGAAAGGAAACTATTCTGAATGGCTATATGAAAAGGTGAGACATACCGGGAGGCAGACTTCTACGGCTATTGAGAAAAATTTTCGTACAGACTGATTCATATTATTACATAACCTTATACGACACTGGAATCCTGCTAGTCTCCATGAAACCAGATGGACAAAAAATAAATATGTATCTGGTTTAACATGGCAAATCATGGGTTTTCAGTAACATACTCATATGATAAACTCAATATATGTTCAGAAAGTAATCATCCGGATTGAGGGGGTAACGACCAAGTCATATTTTTTCACATTGTTGTTATTTGTTGTTTAACACCGCACTCAGCAATATTCCAGCTATATGACGGCGTTCTGTAAAAATTCGAGTCTGGATCGGACAATCCAGTGATTGACATCATGAGCATCGATCCACGCGATTGGGACATAATGACATGCATCAACCAAGTCAGCGAGTCTGACCACCCGACCCCGTTATTTGCCTTTCACGACAAGCATAGTTGCGTTTTACGGCAAGCCTGGGTTGCTGAAGACCTTTTCTACCCCGGATCTAACGGGTTTCTTCATATGTGATCACGTACCTTTTCAGGATCAGTTCTCAACATTCGACTGGATTCTTATGCCGATTTGTGTCAACAATCACTGGGTTCTATTAGCAGCAAATGTATCGAAAAGAACAGTGTGTATAATCAACTCCCAAACATCAAGGAACCATTCCCTACAAGTGACTCAGCACTGGATGTAAGTTGATTATGTCTTACATCGTACATTTCAGTTGACCACATATACCCCATGTCCCTATTCTTGATAAGAATGGGTTGAGTAAGGTCTGCATATCGATGTGGTGTTGACTTGCTAAGAAACAATTGCATAATGTATACAAAATAATTAGATGGTGGTTTCCAGATGTGTGAGTGTTTGAGTAGACTGCATGGCTGCAAATCTTTTGGCACTATATCATAAATGGAATGGTTCACTCAGGCTATGTATTCCTAAAGTATTGTCTACAGTTCCTGTAGTGAATAGCCATATTTGTTCAATTTTACTTTTTTTTAAGAATGTCATTATTTGGTAAAGAGATTATTACCTCATGTGTTTCCGTATCGTATATATCATATACTAGTATTTGGAGGAAACAGGCTGGTTCATATCTGTAGTTTTTCCAGTGGGCTCAAAATCCCATCTGATCATTTCGGGCTGTTTATCGCAGGGAGTTTATGCAGTGCCGCAGTCGGACTACAGGAGAAGAGCTGAGTGTATGGAGGCCCCTGCAGCAGCCTGTGTTCCCACAGACCGATGGCAGCAGCTGTGGAGTGTTTGTACTGATGGTGAGGATGCACGATATCACTAACACAATCAAAAATTATGTCACATAGTTCATATGCAATGATTCGAATAATTTCATATGTCATATTGTTATATCAATATTTTTCATTTTTCATGATCACATTGTACATGAACTGACCGAAACTACTGTAATGCTGATTTCATTTTGAGATAACCTTTCTTAAACATCAGAGAAAAGACATACCAAAACTTGACGCATGACAATTTATTTATTTTCCCTATCAGTTTGTAATATAAACTATTGCTTGATATCTGCTCAAATTGAGCAGCCGAAGGTCAATGAGTGTGAAGAAGGTGTCACTAAACAACTGCACACGAACACTCTTGTATTTATAATAAAAAAAATTACTGGACATATTTTAAATAGATTCTCAGTAACCTCCAATGAAGGTGAAAGTCACCAGAAACCTTATTGTCAAAACATCAGGACCTGATAAAGTAATGATTAGTGCATTAGCACTTTCTTCTATGTTTCAAATTCATATCAAATGACAGATATTTACACATTTATATACTTCCGAACAGTATCTTTACAGTGTGACATACTTCACGTTTGTAAGACCAAATTATCAAGATTAAAGGTAAAGGGCAATAGACCTGAGATCCTTTTTTGGGTAGCTAGACACATTGCACTTTCTGCTCCAAATTTGTTTTTCAAAAAAACATATCGTTAAAGCGCTTATTAGTTTGGTATTAATGTAGCAAAATTCTTAATATTTTCTTTTTGAAAGTTCTACAGCATTGAGTGTATTTGGCTAAATTCCAAGTGATAAAGACTAAGTTGTATCACATACTTCAGCAAAAGGGATAAAAGGTGTTGTGGTCAAACGTTCATGATACCTGTACCTGGTGGGAAACCTTTAGGGCATTTAGTGTTTGGGATGGGCCTTGAACTGTTTTTGCAGGTAATGCAAGCACCAATCTACAGTGTTTATATCACTGACACAGTGACGTATGTCACACTGCTGATGAAAAGTTTATGTCATGACAACATTCTTTTCATTAGTACTTGAGAGCAAGTAAATATTTCAAGTTCCTACGAAAAAAACGTTTCCACTCATTCTTCCATCTCAAATATGATAGAAATGTAAATGAACAACAACAACTGATAAGTAATACATGTGATGTAACATCATGTCTACAATGTCATGCCGACGCTTCTGCTTGAATCATGCAGGCTGCAGAAGCCCTTGTTGCAGGAATCCCTCCTGGCATCATGAGAACTTGCCACGTGGCTGTGTACAGGCACTATGTCAAACAGAGGCTCGTGTCAGCAGCGGAAGTAGTGCAGACCGCAACCATGGAGGACGTCGCTATTGAGGGTATGGATGGAGCCAAACCTGTCGATATGGTGGACATCTCTTCAGAAAGACATATTAATCACTCACAGGGGTGTGAACAGGAAGACCTGACTGTACCAACTGATGAAGCATTGCAGATTACCACTGAAGCTATCAACTCCACAGAGGTCATGACAGATGCTGCTCTGCCTTGTGATCATAGACCAGGTAATGCTCAGGCGGATCTAGCTGAGGGTCAATCTGAGGATGAGGAATCTGGAAAATCAGGATCTGACAGGAAACATGCAGATGACTGTAAAGAGACAATCACAGAAGAGGAAGAGATGATGGATGCCAGTACAGAACATGTCTCAGATGAGGAATGTGATGAGCATTCGGCACTGGAAAAACCTAACACCAGTGTCCTGTTGGACTGTACACCACTACCAGGTAGGATTTCACATTTACTTGGGTGGCATTGGGAAAACCTAACACCAGTTTCCTGTTGGACTGTACACCACTGCCAGGTAGGTTTCCATAGTTACTTGGGTGGCATTGGGAAAACCTAACACCAGTGTCCTGTTGGACTGTACACCACTACCAAGTTGGTTTTCATAGTTACATGGATTCAGTTACTCTTAACATAAAACCTGAAAATGGATTGCTTTGAATCCGATATTGGCATGTGATATGTTTGATCTGTCAGCATCATGATAGTGCATGACGGTTTCACGCAGACACATATGAATATCCCGCATCATTTTGGGCTTCCTCCTACATTACGGGGGCAGGGTTGGCCCAGTCGTCTGAGGCACAGAAATTCACTATTATATGCAGGTATGCGTTTCCTTGCCACGCAAGAAACCTATAATTGTCGATTCGCTCTGATTATGTTTTTAGGTCAGCAGTAAACCCGTGCTCGAGAGTTTCACCAAAGTAGTGAACATCTGCATCATTTCGGGTTTTCCTCCCACAAAAAGTGGAATATGGCCTGAGTAGTATAGGTAATAGGGGTTCTGGACCACTTCCACTGGAGCCGGATTTATATACCTATACTGCTACTACAGATGGCATTTTTTATGCAAAAATGATGATGCGATTCAACGATAGTCATGAGATTAAGTTAAATTGGGTCTAGCTCACCATACCTGGGGCCAATCATTGCTTTAGATGAGCCTAAATAGTAGTAAAAATATTCTTCATTATTTTTATCGATAAAGCGATATTCAACATTTTTATTAAGTTCTTCGTTCATTTACTATGAGACCAGACTATATAACTGCACTCTTCTTGTAAATTGATAAGAAACAATTGATAACCATATTTGGTTGGTTTGACATCACTGATATAATAAAAACCTTGTGGTAATTCTCTCCATTTAATAGCTGTTTCGATTTCCATAATTATATATATGTATGTAAGCATTTGTCTAAATGTGATTTAATGTTAGTAAGCAATCTATTTTTAATCTCCAACCAGTTCTTTGGTTTTGGCACGGAATAACTGACGCGCTTGTTGCCTCCCCTTTTCCATGAATTTTTTTTTCTCGTCTTCGCTAATACCACTGGTCTTATGAGATTTTGATCGAATCTCCTGCTCATTGCGTTGTATTTGGTGAGTTCCGACAGAACTAAACGAAACTCATCCTCGGATATCTTACAATCGACCATTGCTGACGAAATATGATCCTCAATGCTGTTCAACTTTGCTTCGGCAAGTATCCGAATACTATCGTGTTTAAATGCTTTCTTTTGTAACCTACAAGAAATGAATTTTATCGCTATTCCTGCCAGTCCCGAGACTCCAGCAGCTATTTCCATGCTGAGCACAATAGGCGCGGCGATTATAGTTGATAGTAAACCGACACCCGCTACACCGAGTCCCATGCCAGCTGTTACAAGCACGGTGTCAACTCCGTCCAGAGCATTCACGGCTCTGCGATACTTTTTATACAATCCTAGTCTCAACTCCCTATCCTTCTCTATTCGATGTTTTATGTCGCTTATTTGATGTAATCCAAATCCATCAACAGTTTCCATCTTTTCAATTGCTTCATCGAGCGCCGGATATAAACTCTTAGTGTATATTACGGTCATCTAATAGTCTTTAATTGGTCTTGCTTAAATGTTTTGAGAGTATACATCAATCTTATCAAATGTATATTATACGGCAAGAATATCTTAGTAAGAGAAATACTACCACTTTTAATAATTAGGACCCCCTCGAGGGTTGCAACGGGCGATGCTACGATATGAATAATACTGCAACGTTGACGTTGGTGTTTCTTGAGCCATTTAATCGATAGACCTGGTAATATTTCGAAGGCATCTACCGGTGCATCTCCGAACAAGACTTCAATAATAAGCGTAGAAGTATTAGGTATTGCACTCAGGTTAACTTTAATATCATCAAATTCAGTAACCAAATTTAAACTAACATTTTTTAAGGCCGGACGACTATATAACATATGACCTGGGTTTTCTGGCAGAAAAGTGACTAACACACTTTTTCGTTTTGATGGGATATAAGCCGCGAGTACGATGCCACTATTTATTATCTTAGTTAAATTATGTCCCTTACCTATCATCACATAAGGTGGGGTAATGACGATATTCAGTAGCCACTCGATGTTTGCTTCGACCATAGTCCATTTATTATCGTCGTTGCGAATAATATTGTACGAAGTGTTTTTAAGGAGTCTACTAACGTCAACATCGCTTAAATCTTCTAGAATACCCGTGAATGTGACTCTTCCCACTTGTATACATTATCGTGTAAGTGTAAAGCGTATAACTTACCATTGGTACAGAGTTTATCGAATCCTTCTGTGTCTCAGAGATCGGAAAGCGCAATTGTATTACATTGTCTGAGCGTTCCAGGGCCTGATGCATCAACCATTATTTTTAATGTGGAGTGTTACACTTAAGTATCCTATATGTACTGGTTGGTGTTTTACATCTAATACAGAAATTTTGAGGTCTGAAATAATACCACGTTTTAATTTTTTTATATTGTAATGACGAGAAAGATTCCGTTCTACCGCTATTATATTTTTCATTTTTCACTGGAACAGATCTGAGCAGAGTTGAAGGACTTTCTAGTTGAATATTATCCGTCGTACTGATTTGATCAAGATGGATACACAACTCTTTATAGGGAACTAAATCGGGTAATTTAACCTCCTGATCTGTGCCAATTAAGCGTATAAATCCAAGTGTAGCTGATGGGTCCAAAAAAACTATATTTGTTTCTTCATTGTCGAATTTCACTGTCCCAGTCGCCTCATTTGTGTGAGACTAATTCCATTAGGCTTAAAAATTTCAACATTGAGTGAGCTTACGCTGTAATACCCATCAGGTATAGTAATGGATTTGCTAGTACCAAATGGAGATAATAGAATTATCCTATTATTATCTTTTGCAGCATTTATATTGGTCCACCATGGGTAATATGTTACATAGCATAGAGCTACTTCGAGTTGTCCATCCGAGTTATCGATAGTACGAAGCCGTTGAATAGACTGACCATTTGTTATTCCCAGGAGTGTAACATACATATCAAATATACAATGATACTATATCATAACTTAAATATGGAATCAACCATTATTTATAATATGGAGTGTTACACTTAAGTATCCTATATGTACTGGTTGGTGTTTTACATCTAATATAGAAATTTTGAGGTCTGAAATAATACCCCGCTTTAATTTTTTATATTGTAATGTTGAGAAAGGTTCCGTTCTACCACTATTGTATTTTTCATCTTTAACTGGAACACATCTGAGTAGAGTTGAAGGACTTTCTTGTTGAATATTATCCGTCGTACTGATCTGATCAAGATGGATGCACAACTCTTTATAGGGAACTAAATCAGGTAAATCGAGTCCCTGATCTGATGTCTTGAGTACTGTTATTTCTCCTCTCCATCCAAGTGTGTATGCTAAGTTCTCGTAAAGCTTTACATCCTTTTTTCCAGCGTTTAAAATCAGTAACCCATTCGACTCATTTTGTGTTAGACCAACTCCATTAGGGTTAAAAAATTCATCATTGAGTGAGCATACGCTGTAATACCCATCAGGTATAATGTATTTTTCACCATTTATTTCTGTCTCATTATTATAACCCCTCGCAGCATTTATATTGGTCCACCGTGGGTAATACGTTACAATGCATAAAGCTACTTCGAGTTGTCCATCCGAGTTATCGATAGTATGAAGCAGTTCAATAGACTGACCATTTGTTATTCCCGGGAGTGTTACATACATATTAAATATACAATGATACTATATCATAACTTAAATATGAAATCAAGACACATTATTAATATTATTATGGTAAATTCCTATGGTAAAGATTTTTTCGTTAAATTACCCGATATCTTTGAAAAGTACAGGGTCACGGCAACTAACGATACAATGGTGCACGATTGGTTTCACAATCCGATGCAATTTTGGCAGAATCAGTTAAACTTTGCCATATGGTGTGCCACAATGGGATGTGGCGTATCCGTTAATGCCCCAGGATATATGCTGAATAAGTCTGTTTTATTATTTCACGTGTATTATCAGATTAGACGTATACTTAAAGAAATTTATGCTCCATTACCGCAGGATAGAGCGTGGAATTCCACAAATAATAATTATGATAGGTCCGCGTATGAGCGTATTTGTCAGGAATTTAATGTTTCTACGAGTAAAGATTGGCGCATTAAAGGAGCAAACCATGGTCTAGGTGTTCCTTACACAGAGGAAAAAATAACCGTCAAAGAAGAAAGCGATTATGTATATAAAGAACTTAATAAACTTCATGTTAATTTTAATAAGTTGAGGAGTACCAGCAAACTTTACACAAGAATATATGATCATTGGCATAAAACCAGTCATTGGTATAAAGGCTGGGAACTTTATAGTAACGATTGGAGAGGGGATATTATGAGTTTTAAGAGTGGGTCTATTTATATTGTTAAAACATTTGTACAATTGAACGATGACGCTTGGAATTAATTTCTTAATGATAAAACGGAAAATAATTTTACTAACCCAGGATTTGTAAGATTGAATGAATCGATGAGAACTTATGTATGGGCAATTCTCGGAGCACAATATATAAACACGAACGTCCATTATCGGTACTGGGACGGCGTTCGATGCGCAAAAACAGTTTGTCGCAAACGTGGAGCACGCCATTAATTCACCAGTTGACATACCATCGTCTATAAAGCGTTTTCAAGATGTATTACAGTACGCTTAATCCAAAGTAGACTACGTTTATGCACCGGGACTATACATGTCTCCGAGTAATATGGAACTTAAGATCGGTCAAGTGATAGGCTATAATAATAAAATTGTTATCGCTACCGATAAACAAAAACCAGGTATAAATTCAGATATTAACGTTGAATTAATAACGCAAACAATCACAGGCGAAAAGGGAATAGTCAAGCCACAA